AAAGACTTGTGTCGTTAAAATTTCGTCGGAACGAAGTTACGGAAAAATCAATTAACAAACGGAGACGTAACAATACCAAGATCCCTTTTTTCATGACATTATTACGTTTATTCCTATCCAAATTATAGTGTTACGACAGCGGGGGTCACGTGACGAGTATTCTAGAAGTTTCGCTAGTGTGTTACGACAGCGGAAGTCAAGTGACGCTGGTAGCACGTGTTGAGAGCCTAGAAGTTTCTAGAACAGGCGGTACTATCGTATATAAGTGCGCTAGACAGTGAGAGAGACAGACGAAGCAAAGAGAAGAGAGTGGGAACCAAGGACAACGGTTACGGTCGGCGGGAACCGAGGATAGCAGATACAGAGATCGGAACTATAATTGCTAACAGGTGGAGACGGACAATTAAGCCAAGCGCGGTAGAAAGTGAGTGAATTGTTGTGAACTATAGTATGTGTAGCTGTGAAAATTAAGTGCATTACAAAGTTATATTGAGGAAGAAAAAACAAGTTTTATATAATAAGGAACTTGTATCGTAGAAGAATTAACAATCAAACATACAGAGACATAACAATACTTATACAAACAAAAGTACTCATCCTCAGTTATGAGAAACGTTTAAGTTAATCTATAAATTTAAATTATTTCATGGACTTTAAAAAGGTTAATTGTGTTGCACTATTGGTTTAAATCAGTCAGTTAATTCTCTAAGCTACTGTTACGTCTCCGTTTGTTAATTAACTTTCCGTAACTTCGTTCCGACGAAACTTAAGCGACACAAGTCCTTTCTTAATAAAACTGGTTTATTCTTTCCGAATATAACTTTACCGATACACTCAACTTCAACAATCGTGCTAAAACAAACGCTATAACAACGAACGTTAGCTTCAACAATACATCTCACTCTGACCGCAGTTCAATTACTCATTACCTACACACACATTATCCTCCCTGTGTCATGACACACACGTATGGTATGTATACATTTGTCACTTTTGCACTTGGTCAAGTACTTTAGTTGTCTACAGCACAATCCACTTTGATAACATTGGAGTTACATGCTAAAGATATGCTCGATAGCGACAGTGGTGTTATCTAGGGCCTGTCAAACTCAACTCTTTTTATTTGAGACTTCATGAAATAAATAATCATGGTAAAATTCAGATGAATCAAGACTTTTGAGCTAAAAGTCTATTTACAAAAACTAAAATTTGTGCTGTAACGACAATATTCCAATACACACTCAGGGGAAGTTAGACTCCTTCCTTAGTTTATGAAAAATCTAGCAAGTGCAGGGTGATAAGCCCTGCATAGTACCCACCACTTAGCAAGATTACCAGAATGATATTCTCAAAACATCAGACAACATTTTGTATCAGAAAATTCACTCAGTGGCTCGGAAAGCACAGCTATTGAAGCTTTGGTTCTTCCATTGTTAAGATAATTTTAGAGTAAAATTATTTTGTTGGTGAAATCAAAGTAAGGACTTTCACAGTTCTAGAGTATTAACATAGATTAATGTGAAAGTATCTTAACTTAACTTGGATGTATCTTTATTGGGTGGTTTCATTTCACCCAGTTTTATTTACAAGGGAAGCACATGGACCAACAGGAGTATTCTTCCATTAAATTAAGTCTTCATTAGCCCTTGCTGGTCCTATATTTTCTATCTAAAGCTTTAAAGCACAGATAATGACTTGTACGTTGTATGGTATTATTGTGTATTGTGTTACTGGAGTGGAGTATATTTATGTTGCTATTTGTACAAATTTATGTCTTATATCTTTCTTTGTGACCCAACTGTCGCAGCCCATTGGAACATGTACACCCAACCCCAAGAAACTCCAGTTATTAGCGGACTTAACTTTTCTGCTTTATTGGTCATCCACGAGTTACAACTTCTGTCAAAGTGCTGCTTTCTCGAGTAATTGTGGAGCAAATTCGTATGCATCAACCATTGCCGAGTTCAGCTACTCTACGTAGTTCCAGGGAGACTGTGGGCTTCTCCACCAAGATAACGGGTAATTTCTGGTGGGTTGGTGAATTTGACATACTTTTAGAAATTAATTTTAAATTTCAATTGTTTAGCGAGTACGTAACATGCGATGTTGGTCGAGTTGGATTTTTAATGCCAACCCTCTCCTGCTTCTTCTCCTGGTGGATGACCATACATCACATCCACAGGGAGCAACACTTCCCGTACAACATAAGAACAGTCTGTCAATCTTTGTACTGTTGCGTTACATATAAAATTGGTCAATTAATATTATTATTCCTAAGTGTAACAAACTCATGTTCGTGTAGCCTGGGCAATTATTTTTTATGGCGGTTTCCACTGTTATATTTTTAGTATTAATAGTTAAACAACGCACAGATATACCCAAACACAATATTTCAATCTTTATATATGATGTTTCTTATTCAAAAACATTATGTAGTTTTTGTTTGTTTGGAATTAAGCACAAAGCTACACAATGTGCTATCTGTGCTCTGCCCACCACGGGTATCGAAACCCAGTTTCTAGCGTTGTAAGTCCGCAGACATACCGCTTGCCACTGGGGGGTCATTATGTAGTTAATTTTGTTATTATGTAATCACTTATCCATATGGTCAGGAAAACAATTTATTGAACACTCACAGTATCGAAGTTTCTTGACTGATATTGTATTTTCTCTTAAAATTCGAAATATTTTTTTAATTTGTTATAATAAGAAAAAAGAGTAAGTAACTTCAAAATTATTAAAATATTAAGAAAAGCGTGTGTGTATGAGCAAAATAGCTCAGTTTCTTTTATTTTCATACCCGTGGTGGTAGTTCTGATGAATCATGAGTTTTAAACTTCATGGCTTTGGAGTAAAATGTTGGTGTATCATGAATACGAAACCTAACGGGTTTGGAGTTAAACAGTGGTACATCGCGAGTATAAAACCTAATAGGTTTGGAATCAAATACTGAGATATAATATTTAAATACTTATGCGTGTGATAGACTTAGGAAGGTCTTAATTTTCAGTAACTTTTATGGTCCCTTATAAATCTAACTGAAGTATATTTATAGCAACAGAACGAATATTGCGACGGAAAAGTAATCGCATATTACTAAGAATAAAGTAAAATGTTAACATTTATTTTCCCAAACGCCTGGTGATATGAATTCCCCTACCCTGGTAAATGAGGCTGGTAAAAGTTCATCAACATTAGATTTCAAATATGATGATTGTAAAGTTTTATGAAAAAATTCCATTTGGTGTGGAATTGTATTCAACTTATCGCTAAGCACGATAGTGCTCAGTATTTCGGGATAGGCCGAGAAAAAATAATGGCTGCCGCATACACTCTATTACTTTTTTCATCTATGATGCTTACAAATAACTGCTAAAGTTGAGTTACAGCCATATTTGAGTAAGTAATTGCCATTGTCGAGTGTTTCAAACATGTGAGACTCCCAGTATCATTGAAAAGTGGAGAATTGGGAACTAGCTAAAGAGCCAAAGTGTTCATCTTTTTTTTTTCTATTCCCACACTAGCCAAAAAATTTGTGAAGTTTTTTTAATTACTTTAGTACGACAGGAAAGCATTTTAAGAGCACTTGGGAACAGTTTATGACTAATCACGGTAGTGCTTAATATAAGCTATAAGGAAAATCACAATTCTATTGTAAGTGATGTTATCATAACCCTTTGAAGTTAGTTTTCTTACAGAAATCTATTTTTTCGTTAAAATCTTATGTATATGGTGAAACAGGAATTACCAGCCAATAATATATGAACATTAGATGACTCAATGTTCATCTATTATTGGCTGGTAATACTCAATGCTTTGTACACTATACAATCAATGTCTTTAGGGAGCCAACCCTTATATTATGAAATGAAGGAGTAAAAAAAAAAATCAATACACATAATATTAAATTTTATTACACACATTCGTATAATAAACTAACTTTTATTCAGGAGAAAACATGTCACAAAATAAGTAACAAAACATTTTGTAAATGTAAAATGATGTAGAGATGGCAGTGCCAAAAATAATGCAAACACGAATATATAGGGATGATACACCTATACATTTTTCATATGTTCTATCTGTCGTGTAGGTTCTTCAACAATAAGGTGAAGATTATGACCAGTGGTGATTAATAATCTATTTTAGCCAATTGTATGGTGTAATATAAATATCTGAGGTTATTTTTACAAGTGCAATGAAGAAACTGACAAACTGATATGATATGAACAATATGTATTACCATTGAATTATAAAAATAAAAATGTTCAGTTACCAACTTATTTCAATGAAATTGTTTAAAAAAAGAGAGAGGAAACAAGTAATAAAAATGTTTTTGCAAAGTATGATGTAGGGATGGCAATGTCAAAAAGTACAGAAACATGGTACGGATGAATACACAAGACCATACAAAAATCAGTACACAAGTAACCAAATCTTTCCAAGAATAACTTTTATCTACAACTAAATGTTGAATTCCTGTCAGTTGCATGAATTCAGGTTTGAGTAAAAGCATTTAAACTGAATAGTGCTAAACAGTATTACAGTGGCTAATAACTATAAGCTTGTAAGATTGACTCAATACTTACTGGCTACTTATTTAGGGATTTTTGTATGGCTTTGTGTATTCATCCCTACCTTGCTTCTGTACTTTTTGGCATTGCCATCCCTACATCATACTTAATTCTTGCAAAATGTTTTTTATTACTTGGTATAAATAACAACTGAAAATATGTTGATTTTCTTATTCACGCTTTGTCTTTCAGTAAAAATAATTAATTCTTACTCCCAAGTTTTAAAATGTATTGTTTTTACACTATTATTTGCTTCAGTCTATCTGTTTTTCTCAGTGTGTCTATGTATACTTGTGTAAATGTTTTAATTTTCTTTAACAGGGTCACTTTGCAATAGCTGCCAAACATCACATAACAATTGCTGAAATGTAAGAAATTGAAATTATTGATGAAGAAAAGGTAATTTTAGATTTGCATTATTGAAAATCACAAGTTCATAAAATCGTTGTTTGGGTAATAATGACATATTTACAAACACATCAGTTATCTTTTTGTTAGCTGTTGAAAATTTTCCATCGTACTTTTAAGATATGAAAATCAATTGTCCCATTCTTGTCATCTGTGTAAGAATAAAAACAAAATAACTTAACACTAAACTCTTTGTAGTATTAAAAACAAAATAAAAATGATTGTATTGTTCAGGAAGAAATTATCAATTCAAGAAGAATTAAATATATGATTTGACTACAAGATAGATATTTATAAAACATTGGTTACTTTGTGAAAGAATTTAATAGAAATGTATAATTTTTCGATAGTCTTGAAGAAATACTTTGCAGTGGAAGACATGATTTAGTATATTCCACAAGTATGTATATCAGTTTGATAATTTCACATGTTTATGAGAAGTGTTATATTGAAGTTAAAGATATTGTAGTAAACAACAAAAACTACTGGCATTTATGTCTGATTGCTTGCTGATTTCATGACATGCTTTGGTATAAAAAGTGTGATTAAGCCAGATGTTTGACCTAAGTATTAATTTCTGTCCATGCTGAGAATAAATTCTGTAGACCTTAGAGCAATATTTAATCAATTTTTAAGTGAGATTTCTTTTTGATTTGTATCTGTTGATTTTGGTGAAATCCAAAACATAGAATGCTTAAAATAATTAAGGAAGAATCAGAGTTTTCTACATTTTAATTATGCCAATGCACAATTATTTTTACTATATAATGTCAGTAGCTCCCTCGAGTTCATTTTGATGCAGATCAAGTGTCAGGTGACCAGTTGTGTGATCTTACATGCACATTTCAATTATATAGAAAGGTGAAAGAAGCACAGTGTGTTCTTAATTAGTTGTTTGGACAACTGCAAAGTATGTAGAGATACAGGTTGATAGAGGAACATGCCATTACTCCAACAAAGACATTTTGACATTTCTATTATGTTGAGCAATAAGTTGGCTAGAAGAAAGACAAGTGTAAGAAGTTGTTGAATAATGGCTACAAGTCTCATGAAGTTTGGTTAACAAGATGCAGTTGGGTGGTAACCTGGACAGGGTAAGCCATTGTCAACAACCATGCAATATGACTATTATCTGCCTGCATGGATTCAAACCAACTAGCAGGCTTCAGCTCCTTAACAGAATGAATAGTTTATAACAACAACTGGACAACAAATCAGTAAGTGGTGAGAAACAGGCTTAATAGGGGTTGGCTTTTTTTGCAAACAAACAATGGCATGGTTTCTCTATCTCTTTGTGACAAAGCAACTCATCTTCAGTATGTCCAGAACAAGTGGACTGGTCAAATGACATGAGAACAAATGTCTTGTTTTCAGGTTAGTCACACTTTACATTGCAGCCAGGTAAAAGATGTGTGTACACATGTGTAGAATGCCTGAAGACATAAAAACAACATACACATTGTAGTGGTGGTAAACTGGTGTGGGGCAAGATCAATATCATGAACAAATTGAACTTTATGTACTATGACATGATTCTGTAAATGTCATACAATATAGGGATGCAACCTTAAAACCATTATAATTAGCCATATACAGGTGCAATTTGTCAGAACATTCTTCTTATGATTGATAACACACAACCATATCCTCATCATGCGAAGCAATTGGGTATTTTTAAGTAATTTTTACAATTGCTTCAGTTTTAAGAAAGAAAGTAAATAAAATGTAGGTTTCTAGGTTTGGAACACATACATGAAGAAATGGCATAAGTAAGGATGCATGTATTGCAAAATTAGGTCAATAACTAGGCAAAGCATAGTTAGCTAGTAAGTTAGTATTGAGAACCACGAATTAAAGAGTTATAAAAAATAGAACTAATGCCTAGCACCCCAGTAAAGATGCTTAGAAAAATGCTAGTCACAAGTTTGGCAGTGATAAGTTACTGATGCCGACCTAGTAGTACAGTAAAGGCCACTAAAAAGTTTATGATAGCATCTAAAATTGGTGTTTTTATGTAGGATTCATTACTACAAACTGGAGTAGTAGTATAAAGGAGAAGGCAGCCAAAGCACTCACCATCACAGTAACCAATTACTTGAGAGTTTGGTTCCTGTTTTGGAAATGCCCAATGAGTTGCAGAAATTAACCAATGAAGTATCATAACTATTTGTTTGTTTGTTTGTTTGTTATGGATTTCTTGCAAAGCTACACGAGGGCTATCTGCACTAGCTATCCCTAATTTAGCAGTGAAAGACTAGTGGGAAGGCAGCTAGTCATCACCTCTTGGGCTGCTCTTTTACCAATGAATAGTGGGATTGACCATCACATAATAATGCCCCCACGGCTGAAAGGGTGAGCATGTTTGGTGTGGTGGGGATTCGAACCTGCGACCCACAGATTGTGAATCGAGCCGGGCCTACATAACTATTTGCGTGTAGTTTATGTATACTTCTTGGAAACTCGTAAGAATAAAGAGAAAATATCAGTTCACCAGGGGATAATTAGCTGTTCAGGATGAATAAAGTGTTCTCCATCTCAGAACAGCAGTTCTCCAGGAGACTAACAAGTTTTTCAAGAGTGGACAATAGTTCTCCAATTTGGGAAATTCTATCCATGATGAAGGTATCCAATTTGCATTGATACACCTCCTCAACTTTGATGCAAGTAAGATTGCTATTTCTCTTGTTCAATCAATGTAGTTTAGGATAAAATAGTAAAGCAATTCATATGAAGATAGTTAATGTGTGTAATAGACTTGAATATCTCCTAGGTGAACCATGTTGTTAATATTGATTAACTTTAAAGTTGGATTGTTAAGAACTAATGGATTATTAAGGGTTAACTCTTGTTATTAAAAGGTGTATGTCATTGTAAGAACTCAAATAAAAGTGATGTATCTTGTTGAATATCAGTCTCAGAATCAATTTCTTTAGTCTAATCATAAATCTCCTCGAGTTAGTGACTTGTGAACTCCACTTGCCAATGCATTCCTCAATAAAATAAATTTGTTGTAATTGGCAGTAAAGTCGATACTCCAATGACTAGCCCTAAAGGCACTGCCCATTACACATGCTCAACTGTTTAACAACTTCCTTGAACAAGAGAGTATCAAGTGAATGGGATGGCTAGCAGGCTCACCTATCCTGAATCTGATTGAACATGTATGAGATAATCTAGGAAGACAAGATACATCTTCTAGCAATGTTGTGAACTGGAAGCAACTTTGATGGAAGTGTATGTGTGCCATATAGTCTAGAAATTTGTTTATTTTCTCATTTTAATCTTGCACAATATCATCAGCAATCAATATTAACTTCTGATCAAAGCAAGCTATATATTAAGAGTGAAACTAAAATTTAACCTGGTAATGAGTATAGCTAATTGAGTATAATTTTCTTACATTCTTACCTTTAAGAATTGAATGCATTGTTTCACCAGTTGGGTACCCTTGCTGTTGACAAAATTTTCAGCCATAAACCCAATAGTGTGTAATGAGATTCAACCAGCTTAGAAGATTTATGTTAGTTCTAAATATATATAATAACCTAATAATTCAAAAACATCTCTTTAATAAAAGTATAATAATAAAATTAAAAAATACTAAAAATTAGATATATTAAACATTGTAACCAATACTGCTAAGTAAAGAAACAACGGAGTATACCTTACTTATGGAATACACAAACACTAGGTGTGGACTTTGGTGGTCATGCATCTTAATGTCAAAGATTTTTTGATATTTCTTGAACTGTAAAGAGTGTAGTATCAAATGAGTATCTATGGACATGTACTTCAATAGTAAACACTTACATATTAGATCTCATGAACTGGTCATTTGATACTTGCTTTGCATAAAAATAAATCTGGAGATGCTATTGACAGTATTTGTGTCTTTTCATAGCTCTAATATAGAAAACTCTAATTTTTAACTTAAATATTTAAAGAAGCATTGATAAATATTCAGGTAATTGACATGTACATTTAGTGCAATTTGAAGATTGTTTAACATTAATGCTTATAAAGCAGACTTAACAAGATTTTGAGTTGATACTTCTGTGCTCATCAATAAAAAAACTGATACAGAAATAAAATGTATTTCTTTATATAGCTATAAGTAATAGTAGATTTAGATCAAATGTTGAAACATTATATCAATCTCACATTTTTCACTGTTTCTGAGAGAATAATCTAACAGGTGACTGTTACAAAGACATTTTAACTTTCAGTAGTTTTGGTATATTTAAAGAATTTAGCAGATAACTAACAACATGCTCTAAATGATTGTGCTTATTATTTAATGTTATGCAACTTTTTGATATCTATTTATCTTTGTTTGTTTGAAGCTAAGCACAAAGCTACACAATGGGCTATCCGTGCTCTGCCCACCACGGGTATAGAAACCCGAGTTTCTAGCATTGTAAGTCCACAGACATACCGCTGTGCTACTGGGGGGCCTATTTATCTTTAATCAATTGAATAAATATTAGGAGTTTATGAAAAGTGGGGAAAAAAGTATGGTGTGTCTTATATATTTAAAAACTCCACTAATTTAGTTAAATGGCTGAAACTTGCATCCATAGAAAGATACATTATTCAAACCTGACAAAAATTTAACTAATTTATGTATAATACAAGAATAGAAACTTTTTTTAAAGTCCTAACTCTAGTTTTTATCTAAGTACTTTTTGTCACCATATACTGGAGGATTTTGAATTTTCACACCAATCTCTGGCTTGTGCATTGTTTATAGCAAGTGTATGTTGTTCTTGTCTTCAATTTGCAGGGCCTCTTTTGATAACCTTAACATATAGTAATCATGGTAGATGTCTTCTCTCATTGTATTATTTAAGCGAGAAGATATTTCTGTCTTTTTATTATTAGACATGATGCTGTGATGTACATTATGTAAAACAGTTATTTCTGCTGCTTACATTGGATTTCACCAATATTTTTTATGAGATTTTTACGTTGCTTTTAAGTAGGTGTTGGATTATTTTGTGTTTTTAACTTCTATTATTTTTGGTTGAATTACACTTAACTTTGTAAGAATGTTTTTGTAGATAAGCCAAAAAAAGAGGCAACATTTTAATATCATTAGTAATAGAATTACAATTATAAAACAAAAGACACAGTAACTTAGTTCATTTCATGCTTTCTTTGTAGATGTTCTTGCTTAACTATTTGGCACTCTTAAAAGGGCTGGTATATTAAGATATTTAGTGCAGAAGCCAAAATACCCAGTTATTCATGACATCATAATATGAAGCAAAGATCTGTGTTCTATCAGATGCCTCTCTTTATTTACTTATCATTTTTAATTATGCTGTTATGATGGAATGTCTAGTTCAAACTGAACAACTAAATTGTTCAGGACATCATGCTTTTTCTTTTGGTTGTTCTGTCAACGAGTATCTTCTTAATGCTGCAAAATGTGCTGCTCATATGGAACAGTACCAGAAATGCTTTGAATTTATGAAGAGGTAAGGTTTAAACAATGCTGAATGTTTCATGGTACCCTTACAGAGAGTAAACTGTGTGCAGAATCACATTGCAGAGATTGTGTTCTATTACTGACCTCTACAAACAGATCTCTTTTCTCTGTTACCTCGTACAAATTAAGATATTCAAGTAAAAACATTTAGCATTTTCTATGTAACCTGATTGTAAGAAATATTATTATAAAAATGTTTCCTTCTGTATTTAATTTCTTCTTTGTTGTTGTGTTCTTCTATACATCTGTATCACATTTAAATGATTCATTTTTCAGATTTTCACAGAAGGCAGGCATGAGACTAAGTTATTAAAGCAAACATTTGCAATGATAAATAGGTTTCTAGCTAAATATGTACAGTATTTGACATATTAAAGATTAAGTGCATGAAAACAAGATGTTAGTGAGAGTACATTAATGTATGTTACAATATGAATAATTCAACAGATCATTAATGTTTAGTGTGTACGTTGTTTGTCTTTTGTATATGTGCTTTGACTTTTGGGTAAACTTTCTGGTAATATTTTTCATGCATTTTGTTGGATACAACTTTATTAAAATCATATCAAATCTTGAAGAAGAATGCTGTTTATTTTTAAAATATTTATTGTTTATTATGTTTCAAAAATGTTACTTATGATAATAACATGTAAGATGTAATAATAACATTTTTGAGTAATCATATTTTTACATTCATCTGTTTTTGAGACATTGTTTAGCATTAATCTTTTAATAAACCTAGAGAAAATTAGTAAGGGTTTTTTTAAAACTTATTTTAAAAGACTTTTGGTTAAAGTATCTATTATAAGTGTTACTTATGCCCACAGGTGGCAGCATCATTCTTAGAAAACCCATTGTCAAAATTCAGGGCAAAAGAATATTAAATATTCTCCAGGACAGCCTTATGTCACATGTCTATTAATATGCCTAATACACAGGTATTGAACCCTTATATTTTATTCATTTTTTTTACTACAATATCTATACTTTATATTTCTAAGTATCAACTATTACATTACAAGTTAAGTTTTATCTGTTGTCATTAGTTTTTCATTATAGTTTGAACTAGATTTATTCTTTAGAGACTGGGTACATATATAGTCAGTATTCCAACTTTGTATGTTAGTAAATAAAAGATATCTGAACTGTGTTGTTTACAGTCATATGTGAATTAAGTCACGTGGTTGTTCTAGAGAGACTAGTTCAATCGTTGAGATAAATGGTTCTAGTAACATGCAGTTAAACATACACTAAACATTTAATATTATTTGTTGATCTTGCACTTTTCCAAGACAAAAAACTTCAAGACAATTTTTATACAACCTTTGACTTTTGTTTATGTACTTTGACATCTAGGTAAACCTTGTAGCAATATTTTTATGCATTTTTTGTATATATAAAAAATACCAAACTATTTTTTATCATATTTCATGTACACAACCTAGAGAGAATATATAGCTTCTTCTAGACAGCAGAAAGTAATTAGTTAAAATCACAAATTAGTGTAGAGTGAAGAGTTTTCATTATCAGAGACGTTTTAAAATTGTATAATCCTTTAATTAAAAATTAACTTGAGAAAAAATACATAGTTTACAGCACTTTAAATATTGAAATGTTACAGTTTTATGTTTATTCAGTTCAGTCTTGTTAAAATGCTTGATTTTTCTATTTTATTTGGATTGTGAAATATTTTAAAGTTTTCATTTTGAATACAGTGGGAACTGTAAGTATAGTGTTAAAAGTAACAAATTATTGTCATTGGTTATTTTTTGTACTGTTGCTGTACAAGTATGAGCTTCTTCCTCAAATTCTTCAAAACTTTGTTTTTAAAAATATTTTAAACTCAGGTTCTGTAAACATTAATTATTTTATATGTTTTAGAAAATCATTTGAAATGCTGGCTGCTTCCAGTTCAATTGAAATGCAAAAAATCACCCAGACAGTTTCTGCTACATTTGTGGAAAATATATTACAGTTTCATGAAGGAAAAACATCACACACAAGCTAAAGGTGCCTTATTACCACTATTTTGGATATAAAATTTATGACCAAAAAAAAAACACTGGGCTCCACATGTGTGTGTTGTACAACTTTCACATCTGAGTTGACACAGTGGCTGAATATGAAGAGATCAAATATGCCATTTGCAATTCCCATGATATGACATGAGCCTAAAGATCATCTAACTGACTGTTATTTTTGCATGACAAATGTTTCTGGATATTCAGGCAAAAATATACAAAACATTAAATATCCAGATATTGCATCTGCAATGAAACCAGTACCTCATGGGGATGGTCTTCCAGTGCCACATCCACCAACGAATTGAGAAACAGAAGAGTTACCCTGCGGAGAAAACAATGAATCATCTTCATCCTCTTCATCTCGTAATTCTATTCCTGTGGCACCTCAACGTAAACTGCCTCATCTGGTCACACAAGAAGAACTAAATGATCTGATTCGTGACTTGTCTCTATCAAAGCAGCATGAGGAACTTTTTGGCTCTTCTTTACAGCAATGGACAAGATTTTCAGTTTAATAAAGTTGACATAAAAGTTTTTCTTCTCACTACAGCATGCAAGATACTTTGTGTTTCCATGCAAATGTTGATGCACTAATGGAAGAATTAGACTGAACATCATTCTCAAAAATGGACCCTTTTTATCAACTCATCTAAAGTTGGGGTGGAAGCTGTACTTTTGCACAAGGGGAACACCAAGCCATCGATTCCTGTTGCTCATGTTGTGAACATGAAAGAAACTTATCAAAGCATGCAGGTTATATTTGAGGCCATCAATTATGATCAACATAAGTGGAACGTATGTGGTGATCTAAATGTTATTTCACTCCTGCTAGGCCTGCAGAGTGGGTATACCAAAAACTGTTGCTTTTTGTGTATCTGGGACAGCTGAGATGATAAAATTCATTTCAAAAAAGGAATGGCCAGTGAGAGAGAATTACATACCAGGGAAACCAAATATTGAGTATCAACTTTTAGTGAATTCTTAAAATGTATTTCTGCCCTCACTTCATATTAAATTGGGACTCGTGAAGAATTTTGTAAAAGGTATGAACAAAGATTGTAATGGTTTCAGATATCTGTCTGACAAGTTTTCAAAAATCAGTTAAGCAAAAATGAAAGGAGGTATCTTAATTGGGCCACAGATTTAGGAAGCACTGATGGATTATGATTTTGAAACATTAGAAAGAACTTGCTGCCTGAAAATAATTCAAACTTGTTATCAAAAATTTCTTAGGGAACCACAGAGATGAAAACTATGCTGTGATGCTTGGTAATATGCCTGAGAAGTACAGGAAAATGGGGTCTAGGATGTCACTAAAGATGCATTTCTTACACTCCCATATAGACTTCTTTCCAAATGATGTAGGTGCAGTGAGCGATGAGCATGGTGAGTGCTTCCACCAAGATATTTCTACAATAGAACAATAATATGAAGGGCAATGTAATCCAGTGATGGCGGGAGGCTACTGTTGGTTCTTATAGCATGAAACTATGAACATACACAAGAGGCGCAACAAGTCAAGCAAGTATTTTGTAACAAAAAATAATACCATGATGAAAGTTTTGAACATAATCTGAATATATTTTCAGTATATAATCTGATTATACTCATTGCTTTTTTTAAACTGGTATTGTTTTGAACATTCTTAAATGCAATTTTCAATGAGTAAATAAAGTTGTTAAAGAAAAAGTTATTTTCACAATACATAAGAATGTTTTGAAAAAATCTGTTATAACTTGAAAACTAGAGGTGATCAAAAAATGTTTTTGCTGTTTCCAAGTGTAATCGATACTTACTTCCATTCAGAGTAAACTATATACTAAGAGAAAAACTAAAAATCAACACAACCTTCAATATAGTTAATAAATATATACGTTTTTTATGTTCCTATTCATAAAGATTAGAATTTCATCAGTTGGTGCTATCACTGTCAACAATATTTTGGCCATGATGACCACAATTTTCAGTCATAAGATACATCAGCTTATTTCAGATACATTTAGTATGTCAGGTAACTTCTAATTAAGTATATAAACTTGTTTTAGACAAATTTAGTGTCTTAGTTAACTTCTGATTAATTATATTAATAGGTTTTAGACAAATTTAGTGTCTTAGTTAACTTCTGATTAAGTACATATACTAGTTGCAAACAAATCTAATATGTTAAATAACTTATGATTAATTATATGAACTTGTTTTAGACAAGTGTAATGTTCTAATTAACTTCTAGTTAAGCATATATACTTCTTTTAAACAAATTTAATGTGTTAGTGCACCTATGGTTAAGTATATTTACTTGTTTTAGACAAATCTAATGTGTTAGTTAATTCTTGATAATATGTCAGTCTATGTTAACAAATCATTGAAGTTGGCTTCATTCAAACCAAGTGTTTCTGTTGATTTCTGACTCATCAGCTTATTTCAACCTAATTACTGTGTCTATTAACTTCTGATAGTATTTCAGGTGGCTTCAGACAAATCTGTTTTGCCAGTTCACTTCTTATGTATCGTATTACTTTAGTTTATTATGTCTGTGATCTCTTGATGTGTTGACTAATTTCTGTCTCTTCCAAGCATGCAGTTAACAAATATGAAGAAATAAACCCCTCTTTCTCAGATTCAAGGGAGTGTAAACTGCTTAAGGTGAGTTTTAAGTCCCTCTGAATTCAATAATCATCTTTAAAAGATACTGTTCAAGTTTTTTAACATTTATAATAAATATCAACATTATGAAATTAAAACTGTTTGTCATAATTTTAAATTTATTTTTGTAGTGATTTTAGAGTATGCTTGGGTTATTTTGATAAGGTGAGGTTAAAGGATGTTAATCATAAAAGTTTTCAATCTGAAAATTTAAGAAAGGGTAGTAAACAGGATCATTTACTGGAAATTATATAAAATTAACATGTAATCACCAGATATTGTATAACTACTACACAAATGAATCCCTGTAAGCATAAGGTACTCTGTAACTATTACAAAAATGAACCAGTGTAGGTATGAGATGCCATGTAACTACTACACAAATGAATCCTGTAATACAGGGGTGAAATTATAAAAAAAAAAAATGTAGAGGTACTCAGCTGGCTGAAGTGGACCTGTTTTTGAAAAAGAAACATACGTGTAGACATAAAAAACGAAAAAGCAGCTCAAAAAAGTCCCTGTACTAGTTCCCCTTGAAAAATGAGTACTGGCAGAATTTCATCAGCTGCTGTAATAAACTGTACACCACTTTACAATGTGTGTTTAGTATGTTCTATACACCTGGTGGTTATAACTAGAAACAATATTTTTTTTTCATTGAGTTCAGTAAACAAGGATTATTTTAAAAGTGAAGAAGACAAAATATTTTTTAATCAGCTACGTTTAACGTTTGCATTCTCATTGCTAAAGTTAAAGAAGTTAATAATATGTTATCAAAATTATACTTTTTTCTACAATATTGTTGCGTCAGCGAGGTCACATGACTAGTGTCACGCCACGTTTCTAGAACTATCCTGTACCTTGGCGAATGCTCTAGCATTTACTAGATATAGGGTAGTCTGGTATATAAAAGAGGGTGACAACGTGACTGTGTTGAAAACACGACATAGAGTACTTCATGGGTGTTTGAAATAGAGAGAAGTGTATTAAATAACAAGAGACAAAGAGAGCATGGATACAAAGAATTTCTTTCCATGTTAAGAATTGGTGAACATGAGGTTAAGTGTGATAACTAACATGGAATTTATCATTGAAAAATGCAGTGTACATGTGATTTTCATTAGTGACAAGAAAATGTACTAATTTTGTTTTTGAGACTATTTCTAGGGATGGATTTTTCATGGAACAGACGATAATAGCTAAAATATTCACACTATATAGTGAGAAAGAGAGAGAGAAAACACAGTTTTAGCTGGAGTTTTTATGAATACAGATTTATCTGATAGATCTCTTATGCATACTGAAATATTTTAATAAGCAACTCATTTTACTGAATATTTTCTTATTGTTGTTTCACTGCAATTTTGAAGTCTTGAAAATGTAGGCTGTAAGAGTAATGGATGGAGGAGGAAAGTGCCACACTTGTGGCGAAATCTTATAATTTGCGCCACAACTGTTACACGATTTGTAAATGGAAGAAAGCTCCAAAGAAAAGATAATGAAAACATTGACATTTTCTAGCACTAAAAGATGATATTTACATAACCCAAGTCAGTTCAACTGCTATAAGCTGAGCAGTCTCAGGCCCAACTCCTTTCTACTGCAACTAGGATCTATCTACGTGGCAACCAGATGGTAGGCAAAAGATGTTGACAGGTCGGAGAGTTTAGGGTATGTGTTCCCATTGTCAAACAAGGCCAACAGATGGCAGCACAGTCACATGGAGCTGGTTGAATGAAATCCAGAAAAACTAGGGGATTGTGAAGTCTTCAATTCTTTGAACACATCTTCTACAGGCAAGGTTGGGAATGTGTACTCATTAAGCCTGTAGATGTGTTGTTTGGCTTTAGTATTGTTAGGTATTTAACTGAGTTAAATTGTAATTTTGATTTAGTAGTTAAATAAATGCCGATATATATCCAATTTATGATATTTGCCAACAAGATTGATACACAGATTTTTAATACAAATATTTTTCATCCCATTAAGTGACAAATCTACTTGCAAGTTGGATGTGTACACTATTTTGAGAATCGTAAGAATACTAAAGAAATTCGTTAAAAAACCCATGTATTTGGGCTAAAAGTCAGTCTCCTGACTCCGCATAAGAAGCCATTGGTCCTGCTGCCAATTTGTCAACTGAAATCTTTACAGCCTCCTGGCTCGTGTGAAGAAGCCAAAGAACTGCTGCTTGTTGAAGAAAACTGATGCTGCCTGATCCAACTATGCCCGAGCCCATAACAACATTAAAGATGTCTAACATTTCCCGCTCAAGCTCCGAGTAAGTAGCTATTACTAACTTTCTAAAAATCGAATAATGTAGTCAGAAATTGGATGTACAGTGTTTAATATAAAAGAATTAATGAAGGTCGAGTCTGAGCAGTTTTCAATCAATGTGTCAATTGATAACTTACTCATAGTATTAAGTACTTTAATGGATATTATAGAAAATTTAAGTGAATTACCGTTACCTGCTCAGGTTAAAGAATTTAACAGTTTTAGCAGTGAAACATTTCAAGATACCTTCAGTAATCTCGATGTAGCAAAGTATTTTAATGTATTGCATTAAAGTGTTGTTTGTGTTTTGAATCTCAGTCTCCGAGTCAATTCTTTATTTTAACTGTAAATTTCATCCAGTTAGTGAATTGTGTACTCCACTCGCGACTGTAAACTTGGATTTTAAATAAATCTATTGTAAACTGGATTTAAGTCAAACTCCAAACAACTTTGTTTCAGGTTTGTCCTCAAGTTAACAATTATATTTAACAGAACGACTGAGTTAACAAATATCACCTCTTTAGGCATTTATTCACTTTTACTGCATTGTTTTATTATTGAATCAAGCTTTTGTCTTTCTTACCTTGGGCCGAACGCGACACAGTGGTGAGCCTGCTGCTTTGCTTTATAAAAGTAGCAGTCAATCCTGCTTTTCAATTAGAATTATTTGTATAGACAATGGGCAACGCTTAATGCTGCTTACCCTCCCCCCCGCCCCGGTCAG